AAGAAGAGAGAGAGAGAAAAAAAAAACACGGGTCTTACATACTTTTAAGTGTATATGGTATAAAATTATCTAAGAGTCTTCATTAACCGATTCAAATCGCAATGATCGAACCGAAAAACTGATAACCGAATAAATTGAAAATCGAAAACTGAAAAAAAAAAAAACCGCAAATTTTATTTAGATTGGATTGGATTTCGATTTGGTTGATGAAAACCGATCCAATCCAAACCAATCCAATATATTAATTTCCCTCTACCTACTTAGGCCTTTCTCCAATCATAGTCCAAAAAATTCTAAGCTCAAGACCCATTAACCCATCTAAATCAGAGAAAAACCTAGTCACGTCCCATCAACAAAATTTCATCTGTGTAGAGCTTCATACCTCATTCCCCAAAAAAAAACTATATTATCATTTACTAATGCTTCTGTATTTCAAAAAAAAAAAAAAAACTTTGCAAAGCCAATATATACAACAGATATGTTATTTGCACAATAATCATTAAATAAACTTTAGGCTTTTCAAAAATTCGAAAATCAATCAAATCCAAACCCAAAAAAATTGGATCGGATTTAAAAATAAAATCCAAACTGAACGGATGATTACATGATCAAACCGAAGGGATTGGATCAGATTATTTTTGCTTCCAAAATTGATCCAATCCAGACCGTAAACACCCCTAAAATTATCCTCTATAACATAAAATACACTAATCTTATATATATATATATATATATATATATATATATATATATATATATATATATATATATAGGAGATTAGTGTGTGTCATTTAAAAGGACACAAGTTGTGTTCTTTTTTTGACTTACATTATGTAAATCTGAAAAGTTATTTTTTTTCACTTTACATATCAGCGATATGATTGAAAAAAAAAAAAAAAACTTTTCAGATTTACACAAAGTATGACCGGTCATACTTTGCGTAAAAAAAATACAACATGTGTCTTTTTAAATGATACATCATTTTCCCATATATATATATATATATATATATATATATATATATATATATATATATATAAAGAGTTTATTGTTTATCCTGTCATAGGATATAAAATTTTGTTCTATCATCCTCTTATAAATATGTACTCTAGGTGACACGGCAAAATATTATATCCTGTCACTGATGAACCATATATAAAATCATTTCGATAGTTGGCTTGAAAAGATTTACCCAGTCAACATACAAAACACGAAGGAAGATGTAACAAAGGCATCATCATTTCATTTCAAAAACACAAGCAAGTTGCAATACTAATTTTCATGGAGATGGAGCCTGAACTAAAGATAAAATCATTGTCCAGCTTATGCGGTAGATTTGATGAAAGAAAGCCTTACATACATGGCACATAAAGTTAATTTCCCTGCTATATACCAACATAAAAAATGAATACCCAATGGAATAAGGCGTCCAAATTTATATGCATGGTTTCGCAATTCTAAACGTCACCCCCGCAACTGGGCAAAATGGTCAGAAATGATATTTTCAATAATACTTCACATTTCGCTAAAGCACGTAGATTATTACATAGCTGTGAAAGAATCTTGTCTCATATATATATATATATATATATATATATGAGGTTTACTTTTGTCATTTAACATGATCACAAAAAGTTTTCTACACACACAACATTTTATAGGACCCACATGTTTTGAAGAAAAAAAAAAGTTACGGCATGCAAAACGAATCTCTATAACATAACACAATCATTTTTCTTACAACATAACTCTTATAAAACCCTATATATATATGGGCTTATCATTTCTCAAGCTGCTTGAGATAATCTTATCTCCGACAACTAAATCATAACCGTACAAAGATGGATCAATGGATAAAGGAAGAGAGAGAAAAAAAAAATCATAACCATGTGAATCAATTAATATAAGGAAATAAATAAATAAAACGACATGGTTTTAGGATAGCCGGAGATAAACTTATCTCAAGCTGCTTGAGAAATGTTTTATATATATATATATAGAAAAAATGTTTCTGCAGTTAATGCAGAGAAGTTATCTGCATTTATTCCCAAAACGACGTCGTTTTGGTATTGAAATCTTAAAAAATTATAAATATAAAGACTATTATAACCATGAAATAAATTAAAATTACAAAAACACCATGATTTCTGCCCCAAAAAGACGTCGTATTGGCTTACTGCAGAAAAAACGAACCCATATATATATATATGGTAAAATCATTTCTGCAGTCATTTTACGTACAACAACGACATGTGTATGGTTATGATTCCCCGCATTTAATACTTTCAAGTATATATATGGCAATTATTTGATTGTTGCACGTACAACAGCTGCAGAAATGTAAACCCCTATATATATATATATATATATATATATATATATATATATATATATATAAGATAGAATCCTTTGACGCTGGTTTCAAACTTTAAAATTTGACATCAAATCCTAACCATTGATTTTCGCCAATCAACTGTTATCTTTTATTGTGAATTAATGATTAGTTAATAAGTCTAATTCGTAATAGGGGAAAGATATTGTGACAACCAAGTTGTGTTACTACCAAGTGACTATCAATTAATCTCACCGTTAGATCGATTATGTTGATCCAACGGTTATATTTATTTTCATCTTTGTATGGTCATGGTTTCACAAATTTAATGCTTTATATTTATTTTCACCTTTGTATGGTTATGATTTTCCATATTTAATGATTTCACTTTAAATATGGGAAACCATGACCATGACCATACAAAGATGGAAATAAATATAACCGTTGGATCAACATAATCGATCTAAGTGAGATTAATTGGTAGTCACTTGGTATTAACACAACTTGGTTGTCACAATATCCTTCCCCTTCGTAATAAATGATAATCATTTTTTGGCGAAAATCAACAGTTAGAATTTAATATCAAATTTTAAAGTTTGAGATTGATGTCAAAGGATCTTGTCCCTATATATATATATGGGTTTATCGTTTCTCAAGCTGCTTGAGATAATCTTTTCTCCGGCTACTAAATCATAACTGTTGCACCCTATGCTTTAAAATATTTTAATGATGACACAATTGATATAATTAAATTACAAATCCTAACAACCTTATTTGTTGATCAAAAAACAGGATGATTTTTGTTGGGTGGTTACAGCATATCAAAAGGTTGTTGAGATTCCGAATCTGAAGATAAGATAAAGCTTGAAGTTGTTGCAGTCAATTGAAGATAAAGAGCAGAATCAAAATTTGAAATTAAGAGATAAGGATAAAGTCTAAACAACATTATCATGGGAGCAAAAGTTTATGAAATTTTTTTACTATATATATACCCATGCTCCAATAGTCTCACAGTGAAGCAGCAAATGAGATCTAAATTTTTAGCCTAAGACTTGTGTTCTTTATTAACTTTTTTTACAAGCTTAGGTTTTAAGTGCTTCATCGTCACCTTTTAGCTTTTCTAGAAGTATTAGTAAGGTGGTTCATTTTAAGTTGATTTTTCTCCGTGTGTGGAGACTTGCTATTGTTGGTAGTAACAATAGGTGTGGGCTTATCGGTGGATAAGTGTAAACTTTGATTTAAATGGCTGAATCAAAGTAGTGTGCCTCAAGAGTAGATTAGGATCTACTTGTACTTGAGTATTTTGGCTCATTGAAATTAGTGAAGTTTTTTTTAAATCCCATTGGATTGAAATCCAAGTGGGTCGTGGTTTTTTACTCCTATTGAGCCTAGGAGATTTTTCCACGTAGAAATCATTGTGTTTTTTTTTATTTGTGCATCATTCTTGTGATTTCCTTTTATTAGCAAAAATTAGAAAATTATATTAAAAATTATATTTGAATAAAAATAAAAAAGAGAGATAGGTGCTACTACTCAATTCAACCCCCCTTCTTGAGTACCACTGGGACTAACAATTGGTATCAAGAGTGTGGTTCTCTTTATTTTACAGGTAATTCCTGAAGAGTAGATCCAAGAATGGAGTCAATCCGAGAAGGGTACTCAACTCAAAGGCCACCGCTTTTTGAAGGAAAATTCTTCAATTACTGGAAGAATCGAATGGAGATTTTCATAAAAGCCGAGAATTATCAAGTCTGGAATGTAATCGAAAATGGTGATTTTGAAATCACTAAAATGAATGACAAGGGAGACTTGATACCAAAGCCAATCAATGAATATATCGATGAAGACTGGAAAAAATTAGAATTCAACGCTCAAGCCAAAAGACTTCTTCATTGTGGTCTTGGCACACAAGAGTACAATAGAATTATGGGTTGTCGTACAACAAGGGAGATGTGGAATTTATTGGAAGTTACCCATGAAGGAACAAATGAAGTCAAGCAGTCAAAAATTGATTTGTTGATGCATCAATATGAACTTTTTTCCATGAGCCCCAAAGAAAACATACGGAGCATGATAACACGATTTTCAAATATTGTCAATGAACTTGGTGCATTGGGAAAAATAATCCCAACTGATGAGCAAATTAGAAAAATACTACGCAGTCTACCTCATGAAGATTGGAGACCAAAAGTGATTGCTTTACAGGAGACAAAAGATTTTAAAATATTTACACTTAAGGAGTTGACTGGATCACTAATGACTTATGAGATGCAACTTTTATCTCATAATGAAACACTCAAAAAACACAACGACATTCAGCTCGAATTTAAGGCGGAAAAAAGGGGCAAAATAAAAAATCAATCTCAACGGGAAAAAGGAATAGCTCAAAAGTCAGAACGAGAGGAGGAAGATGAAACAGAAAGCGATGAAGATAGATCTCGCTATGCTTGCTCGTCGATTCAAGAAATTTTTCAAGAAATCAAAAGGCGACTCAACAAAGAATCGCTCAGGAAGACAAAAACCTAGGGTTGATGAAAAATGCTTCAAATGTGGAAAATCAGATCACAAAATTAGGGATTGTCCTTTCCTGGAGAATGAATCGAAGAAGGAACAAAAAGAGCATACTAGGGAGAAACAAAAATATTAGAGAAGGGATTTCAAGAGAGCTATGGTGGCGGCATGGTCCGATTCAGAATCTGAAGAAGAAAAATTTGATGAAGATGCACAAGCGAATCTTTACTTAATGGTGCATAGCGACTCAGAAACTGCTGATGAACCACAAGAGGTAAATCTTAAAATTCTTAAGTCTTCTTTGTGTTCTTTGTCTAAAAAGCATCTTGTTAAGCACATAGAAATTCTGATTGACGAATATGTGGCTATCTGTGATGAGAAAAATTAAATTATTGATGAATATAGTGAATTAACAAAGGACCTGAAAAATGAAATCAAGATTAAAATATGTCTGAATGAAGAAAATAAGAAGCTCAAGTCAGAAATTATTTTGCTAAAAACTAAAATTTTAGATGATGAGAGATCTCTTGAATCACTAAATGAAGAATTAAAAAAAATTAATTCTAAACTAAATCATGTAAATATTGAGAATGCTAAGCTGAATTTAGAGAACCAAAGTCTGGCTGCTAAAGAAAATGCCTTGAAAAATGAAACCAGTAATACAAAAGAAGAAATTATTGTCGCTGATTGGTTTATTAAGAGTGTGAATAAAAATAAACAAGGCATGGGATTTTTTGGTGTAGCAAGCAAAAATAAATGGAAACATGTTGATTTGTTTGACAAAAAGATATGTTTACATTGTGGGAGAGTTGGTCATCTTAAGATGGATTGTAGGAAAAGAATTGATGCTTATATGAAGAACTGCACCTATTCACTTAAGAAACAACGTGAAATCTGTTTTAATTCTAAAATTAAAAATAAAATGACAATTCAACAGATATGGGTGAGAAAAACAAATGGAGTTAAGCCTGATATCAAGAAAAAAGAACCCAAACAGGTTTGGGTTCCTAAATCTAACCTTTAATTTTCTCTTTTGCAGGCAAAAGTGAGGGGGAACAACCTGTGGTATCTTGATAGTGGTTGTTCTAAACATATGACTGGAGATAAATCAAGATTTCTCTCACTAATGCCTTTTCAAGGAGGGAATGTGACATTTGGAGATGACAAAAAAGGTGAAATCATTGGAATTGGTAAGGTTGGCAAGTCACCTTCTCACTGTATTGATAATGTCTTCTTGGTCAAAGGTTTGAAACACAATCTTTTAAGCATTTCTCAATTTTGTGACAAAGGTAATAGAGTAGAATTTACTTCTGAAAATTGTTTAGTGAGAAAATTAAATTCAAATGAAGTAATTCTAGAAGGTAAAAGAGTAAGAAACACTTATCAAGTAGACTTAAATTATATTGCAAGTGTTTCTTTAACTTGTTTAAGTGTTCTAGATTATGATCCCTTGTTGTGGCATAGAAGATTAGGACATGCCAGTTTATCTACCTTGAAAAAACTAAGCTCACTTGACTTAGTTGTTGGCTTACCATCAATTAAGGTTGAAGATAACCAACTATGTGAAGCTTGTGCAAGAGGTAAGCATGTTAAGTCATCATTCAAATCCAAGAACATGGTTTCTCAAAGTGACAAGGGTACAATGATTCATCAACAAAAGTACCTCAAAGACCTTCTAAAAAAATATGGGATGGAAGCCTCTAAGCCGCACAAGACTCCAATGGGGATTGGAGATAGATTAAGTGAGGACAAAGAAGGTAAAAGTGTGGATGAAAAAATGTATAGAGGTATGATTGGATCACTTTTATATTTAACAGCTAGTAGGCCTGACATTGTGTTTAGTGTAGGCTTATGTGCACGTTTTCAATCCAATCCCAAAGAATCCCATTTGAAATCTGTTAAACAGATATTAAGATACTTAAAAGGATTTGATAACTTAGGATTATGGTATCCTAGGGGTGCTAATTTTGATCTAGTGGCATATAGTGATGCAGATTTTGCAGGTGACCTTGTTCATAGAAAAAGCACTTCAGGTATGGCTCAATTTCTTGGTCCTTGCTTGGTTACTTGGGGTTCAAAGAAACAGAATACTATTGCATTATCCACTACTGAAGCTGAATATATTTCTGCTGCCCTTTGTTGTGCTCAATTGTTATGGATAAAACAACAGTTAATTGAATTTGGAATAAATTTTGGTTGTATGCCTATCCTTTGTGACAACTCAAGTGCTATAAGTATATCAAAAGATCCAGTGTTGCATTCAAGAACAAAACACATACACATTAGGCATCATTTTTTGAGAGAATGTACAGAAAAATGTTTAATCAAGTTGAATTTTTGTCCCACTGAATTTCAAATAGCAGATATTTTCACTAAGCCGTTAAATAGAGATAGGTTTGAAAAATTGGGACTAGAACTAGGCTTGATTAGTTCTACATAAGGATTTATGTGACCCCCAATATGGATGCTTGAATTAGAACCAAAAATTTGTTGTCCCGTCTGCATACTTATCATCACTTCTATATTTCTTTTTAAAAAAAAGACCCTATTCCACTTTACAAAGACAACATCACCTACACAAGACAAACTCTAGGTCCTTCTGACTATACACCTAGATTTCCATAGCATTTGGTGACTGTGTGGAGCATGATTCAATGGATGTGGTACTGTTATGCATACTCATGAAAAACATGTTAGTTAGGTGACCAAGTTTTGAGTGAAAACATTATTGAGTGAAAAGGTACTTCAAAACTTTTATAATTGATCTGCTTCTTTTTGGTGGAAAAGTGCATTCTGATTTATTGATGACTGTCATTCACTTTTTTTCCCATTACTTTTTCTAATCTCTATTTGACATCATACGAACCATTCATGAGCAGAAAGATAATTCTGCATATTTTTGTTCCATTAGTATTAGCAGAAAACTTACATCATATTGTGAAGAGTATGTCCAGATATATATCCTATTTATCTTTGATCCACATGCCAAGTTGAGGGGGAACAACGAAAAAAAAGGAGGAGGAAGAAGAAGAAGAAGGAGAAGATGATTAAAAAAAAAAGGAGAATAAGATGAACAAAAAAAAAGAAGAAGAAGAAGATGATAAAAAAAAGGAAGGAGAATAGAAAAAAAAAATTAAGAAGAAGAAGAAGAAGGGGAAGAGGATTAAAAAAAAAAAAAAGAAGAACGAGAAAAAAAAAGTTATAAAAAAAAAGGGGAGAAAGCTTCAAATGTTAATTGTCTCATGGCATAATACAACATCCAAACAAATGTCATTTTTTTGTTGTTCTTTGCAACCTGAGTCATCTTGCCAATAACACTCCCAGCTTCTAACAACTAAGAGAGTTCTTTAATCCTTCCATTTCCTATCATCTTTTCCTTCATGCTTAAATTTTTCATAAACTTTATTCTACTTGCACTTTTCTGGTTAAAAGGATTCCTAGATCATGAATTACAAGTCCATGAAGCATCCTTGAAGGTGAATAAATTGTGAGTTAAACACTTGAGTGTCTTCTATCATGAATATTGCAAAATACACCATGTCATTGCAAAGTGCTCTGCTGCTTCCCATTTGCTTTACTCTTTCTCATACATCTCTTGCTCCATTATGCCTAATATTTTCCAAAGTTTGATGATGTCAAAAAAGGGGGAAACTAAGATGCCTTATTTGAGTTAATTAAGTGTTGGTTACTAGTTGAATTTGTCAACATTATCACTGTTTAATTACTACTGTTTGAATATCTGGTTTTGGATTCGGTATCAATTATTCAACTTGATCACATGACATGCTACATTGTTGTTGTTGTATACAAAACTAGCTCGTTGACTATGAAAATAGTTTGTTATTGCTGAACTTCAATGTTGGATTGATCTGTCAAGCTACTTGGATTTCTAAGGCATCAATTGTTTGTCATCATCAAAAAGGGGGAATTTGTTGCACCCTATGCTTTAAAATATTTTAATGATGACACAATTGATATAATTAAATTACAAATCCTAACAACCTTATTTGTTGATCAAAAAACAGGATGATTTTTGTTGGGTGGTTACAGCATATCAAAAGGTTGTTGAGATTCCGAATCTGAAGATAAGATAAAGCTTGAAGTTGTTGCAGTCAATTGAAGATAAAGAGCAGAATCAAAATTTGAAATTAAGAGATAAGGATAAAGTCTAAACAGCATTATCATGGGAGCAAAAGTTTATGAAATTTTTTTACTATATATATACCCATGCTCCAATAGTCTCACAGTGAAGCAGCAAATGAGATCTAAATTTTTAGCCTAAGACTTGTGTTCTTTATTAACTTTTTTTACAAGCTTAGGTTTTAAGTGCTTCATCGTCACCTTTTAGCTTTTCTAGAAGTATTAGTAAGGTGGTTCATTTTAAGTTGATTTTTCTCCGTGTGTGGAGACTTGCTATTGTTGGTAGTAACAATAGGTGTGGGCTTATCGGTGGATAAGTGTAAACTTTGATTTAAATGGCTGAATCAAAGTAGTGTGCCTCAAGAGTAGATTAGGATCTACTTGTACTTGAGTATTTTGGCTCATTGAAATTAGTGAAGTTTTTTTTTAAATCCCATTGGATTGAAATCCAAGTGGGTCGTGGTTTTTTACTCCTATTGAGCCTAGGAGATTTTTCCACGTAAAAATCATTGTGTTTTTTTTTTATTTGTGCATCATTCTTGTGATTTCCTTTTATTAGCAAAAATTAGAAAATTATATTAAAAATTATATTTGAATAAAAATAAAAAAGAGAGATAGGTGCTACTACTCAATTCAACCCCCCCTTCTTGAGTACCACTGGGACTAACAATAACCATACAAAGATGGATCAATGGTGATAAAGGAAGAGAGAGAAAAAGTGAATCATAACCATTCAAAAGTGAATCAATTAATATAAGAAAATAAATAAGTAAAATGACGTAGTTTTGGAGTAGCCGGAGTTAAACTTATCTCAAGCTGCTTGCGAAATGTTTTTCCTATATATATATATATATAAAAACAAATTCTAGCTCATTCAACCATTCTTTTATTTTATAATTGCAAATTTGCTGTTCAGAAAGACAGGTACTCCTTGTATTGTAAACCTTCCAATTTTAATTTTCCCTAACAACAAAGACACTAAAAAAAGGCATTATGATGGCTGCTGCGAGCTCCTCAACGAGCTGACCCAGAAATTGGGACTTTATCGTGTTTTATTTAAAAGCTAAAACTGAGCCTTTATTTCTGGGGCGAGCAATTTCCTCTCCTCGCTGCTGTGCTCATTGAAATGAGCAACAGAGCGAACTTAATTGGATGTCTCGCTCACTTGCTCGCTAAAGCGAGAAATAGAGCGAGCATGACAAATCTTTTATAAATATTTATTTTCCTATTTTTCCTTGATATTTAGCCAATGCCAAGTGCCTTCTCATTTTCATCAGGTTAGTAATTTGTTATTCTTAATATGAAACAACCTAAAACAATAAAAAGAATTAAAATCTCATATAGTTGTTGGCATTTTACTAACTTTTAATATTTTATTAATTAACAATATATTTTTAATCATATTGATTATTATTTGAATTATATTTGATATCAAAAACATAATGTTTTTGACACTTATCATTAGTCATCTAAACTCTGAAGCTTGACCGAGTTAAAACATGCATAGCATGTAGCTCAAACGTGTCGACTTCATACAGATAGAATTCCCGAAAAACCATGTTTATGCTGAAGCACGTGATGAATGATTAACTACAAGTCATTCAGTCAAGAAATGATTTCACTTTTCAGCCAAACTAATGCTCTATTTTTTTTATTTTATTTTTAACGAGAAAAACCCAAATAACACCATAAGCTTGATTTATTTACACTATTACTGCAATCTGAATAATCGTTCTCTCAGTTTATAACCACCTAAATTTTCAGTTAAAGTATTCATGCCAGAGTCCAAACCCTTGGGCTTTTTTTTTGCACATTAAATAAGCCAACATGGGAAAAGACCTAGAAATGGGTACAACATAGTTAAACATGTTGAAAATAAAATGTAAGCCACAGAATAATCCAAAGCAACAAACCGGGACTGTGTTTTGTTGCCATGTGTCCCGAGACAAATGAGAAACGTTTGTGACGGGTGGTCAACTTCCAACTCTCCTTCACATAAAGTGTACCAGAGTAACAGTTATTTACAGGAAACCCAGAGACAATAAAATAAAGTTTACATGGTTTCTAAATTATCGAACTAGAAAAGAGTGCATATTCAAACCTATCAATGAGTATTGAAGCAGTGTAGAAACAAACTGGTACAAAAGTATACAAATGCTAACCAACCAAACAACCGCTTTACATTGTCTAATTTGTCCAAATAAGAGAAACTTCTCTCAATTTTAATACATTCTTCTCCATTTGACACATGCCTTGATACTGTGACCAGTTTCTGAAAAATAAATCGACGACTTGTAAGTTTTAATGTATATGTCAAGATATATAAAGCAGTTTAGAAGATGGCAATACTAATATACTCATAAAGAAGTGGAACTTTTTGTAAATTGAAAAATCTGGTAGCTGCCAGCGAAGAAAACATCATTCAAAAGTTGACGGAATTCTAGTCTTCTACAACCTTGTAATTGTAGTTATTCATATTCCAATCAAATATATCTCTTGGAAGATAATAGAGAGGGAACTGGGATACCACTCCCCAACACTTCCCTCGTCTAAGTCCCAGCTGGGAAAAAAGCACAAACAGCAGTAACAGTCATCCATGAATGTCTCTATACATTACTATAAGATTTAATCCAACGGAAGCCAAAAGCACCCGGTATTTAAACTCGAGGGAAAAAAAATAGTTATTGAAAAATTGCAGGTGTTATTCAAGGATTACCTGAAGTCAATAGGATATAGACATTGCTCTGTACTGTCATTAAGCATCTGTTCACACACCAAAAATAATTAGGTTAAACAAGAAACTAGTCAAACAGTAACAATATGCAATATTATAGCTTGCATACTCTCCGATGGTTATTTCATAATTTGATGGCCTCTAATTGCTTGTTTGGCCTGGTTTATTTTCAGCTTCTATGTTGGGTCTCACTTGTTGTGTGAAAGCTTGTAATGGAACATCAAGTTATTTTCCTATCACGGTAGGTGTACACCAAGGTTCGGCTCTAAGTCCTTATCTCTTTGCCTTAGTTATGGATGAATTAACAAAAAATATTTAAGAAAAAGTGCTATGGTGTATGCTTTTAGCAGATGATATTGTGCTTATTGATAAGAACAAAGACACTGTTAATAGAAAACTTGAATTGTGGAGAAGCACGTTGGAATCTAAAGGATTCACGTTAAGTCGGAGCAAGACTGAGTATTTGAAGTGTGAGTTTTCTCTAGCAAGAGATGACGACCAAGATCCCTTGCACCCACTTGGCCAAGAGGTACCCAAGAAAGATGCTTTTAGGTACCTGGGATCCATTTTGCAAAAAGGTCGAGAGGTTGATGAGGATGTAAATCATGGAATCAGAGCAGGGTGGGTGAAATGGCGTAGTGCATCTGGGTTTTTATGTGACCGCAAAATCCCCCTTAAGTTAAAAGGAAAATTCTATAGAACAGCAGTAAGACCTGCAATGCTATATGAAGCTGAATGTTGGCCAGCTCATAGGCAACATGAGCATAAAATGAGAGTAGCAGAGATGAGGATGTTAAGGTGGATGTGTGGTTATACGAGAATGGATAAGATGAGAAATGAAGATATTCGTCGAAAGGTAAGAGTACTACCGGTGACTGAAAAGATGAGAGAACATAGACTGAGGTGGTTTGGGCACGTAATGAGAAGGCCCTTGGATGCTCCTCTAAGAACAAAAGTTTGTTACCAAGAGCTCAACACAAAGAAAAGGTAGAGGTAGACCGAAACTTATTTGGGGGAAGGTAGTAAAGCAAGACTTAATGGATTGGGATATAGATTGGCGGACGGTGTGCCTTAGAACGAAATGGAGAAAATCTATATGCATGATGGAAGGTTAGACCCGTAGTTATTCCTATGTTTCAGATGGTCTCTTTTTAGTCCTTTTTCCTCTTCATCTCCCCCCTCTTTTCCCCCTTCTTTTATCACTTTTATATTTATATATATATATATATATATATATATATATATATATATATATATATATATATATATATATTATTACTATTTTATTTTTTTATTTTTATCTTTTTTGAACCCGTTCGTATCTTTTATTTGGGTTCATCTACCACCGACCCCAATTAATTTGGGATAAAAGTATTGTTGATGTTGATGTTAATGTTGGGTCTCATATCTTGTCTAATTTTAATCATAACAAACAAGTGAAGCCATGTCATCTAACATTGTTTCTTGAGTTTTTAAAAGTCATTGCAGGATTTAGTATATGATAAATTATGAAGAAGTGAATGTAACGAAGTTGTCATCAAATTATGAAAATCAAAGATATAAAATAAAATCTTAGATTTCATATAATTAGAGGATAAGGTGAATCCTGATCATATCTTGTAACATATTTTAAAGTTTTTAAAACTAGACAAGAAGATAAAAAAGTTTTCTTTTTAGGGGAAGGATATTGTAACAACCAAGTTGCATTACTATCTTGTTACTACCAATCAATTTCACCGTTAGATCGATTATGTTGATCCAACGGTTATATTTATTTTCATCTTTGCATGGTCATGATTTCCCAAATTTAATACTTTATATTTATTTCCACCTTTGTATGGTTATGATTTCTCATATTTAATGTTTTCACTTTAGATATGAGAAATCATAACCATACAAAGATGAAAATAAATATAACTGTTGGATCAACATAATCGATCTAACAGTAAGATTGATTGGTAGTAATATGGTAGTAACACAACTTGATTATTACAATATCCTTCCCCTTCTTTTTAATCTATATAGATTTTTTTAGAATACGGTTTTTGATTTTAAAAAAGGAAAAGTTAATTTAAAAGGTTTAATTCCTTTCTAAAAGGTTTGATCATATTTCGTTTACTTTTGTAAAGTTAATTTTTGAAAAGTTAATTCAAAAATTTTGATTCTATTTTTTAAAAGAAATTGTGGATTTTTTTTTTTTTAAATCATGATAATTTTGAAAAACAAATTTCTTGCTAAAATTTAGACATTCTTCCTAAGGCTTTTTGACCTTTTTATCCCTTATTAAATAAAAAATAACCATTTTGTCCCTGTTCCAAAACTATATCTCACTTTGCCCCTATTTAATCGATTACATAGAAAATTTAATCGACTAAGTGTCAAAAAAAAAATATTAATCGATTAAAAAACTTTTTTAATCGATCAAGTATCGATTTCTTCAAGAAAATTGCAGAGGAAGAATGCCTACCACCGACAACTTCATATGAATTTCATCGGTGTTATTAGCTCTAGGAGTAATAGTAGGCGTGACTGATTCAATGCCCTTCCTCATCAGAGTCATTGCACTATGTCATCTTTCTATCTTACTTTCTTATGCACATATATCACAAAACAGAACCTTTTTCTTCCAATCCCTCCTACAGTAACAGCTCTCCCTAATAAAAGCTTGAAAAAATAGAGATGAAAAACGATGAAGAAAGGTAAAGCTAGGAGCTTGTAACTTTTGGGACACTTTTATCCTGAATCGCCTTCTTGTTGTTGCTGAAAGGGAGAGAATTTAATTATATGGGGTTCCCACTTTTCCTCCTTCAGTATATGTTCTCTATGTTATTATATGATCAATGATTGAACTGAGCTGTGCCTGATTTTCCAAATATGAAGTTGTCGGTCGTGGGCGATCTTCCTCTGCAATTTTCTTGAAGAAATCGATACTTAATCGATTAAAAAAGTTTTTTAATCGATTAATATATTTTTTGACACTTAGTCGATTAAATTTTCTATGTAATCGATTAAATAGGGGCAAAGTGAGGTATAGTTTTGGAACAGGAACAAAATGATTATTTTTTATTTAATAAGGGATAAAAGGGTCAAAAAGCATTCTTCCTAGTAATTGATGTTATGAAAAAGTTTATAAAAACGGTATTGCGCGTCCTTTTTCGAAATCTTTCTTCTCAAAGGAGCATTCTAAACAATTTAACAACCAAGACTTGAACATATTCACATAATGAAACTCCTATGTTTGATTTGTACCCATTTGCTTAGTGATTACGTGTAAGATAACCTTCCAATTGTTCTCGTGTCTTTTTATTTATTTTAGCTATTGTCGAAGTAAACAAGAAGGGAGACAATTGGGGGCTTGTACTTCGAGGCTTAGAGTTAAACCGGGTTAAATACATTAGCAGTTGTCGGAATGAAAAATAGGGAAACAGTTATAGTTATCTAGTGATAACTGTAGTGACTAAATCTAAAGGTAGGTTTAACTGAATTATATTATAAGAATAGAATAGATTATATTCTTTGTTGTCCGTATGCTCTCCCCCAAGGTGTATATAGTTCGTTTTATGGAAAGGATAGGATAAAAATACATAGGATACAAGGTTTGGATAAGAGTAAGAAATGATATGGACTTAATAAGCTCATTTTATCTAATGTTTAATGTTATCTTATCCGGTGTTTTAAATCGAATCATATAGTTTCATGATATGATAGAAATTGACAAAATATCATTTTTTAACAAAATTTCATATGATTTTTTAAATAATTTTTAAACTACTTTTTTTTACTTATTTACAAATTAGTTCTTATTTTAAATTATTAAAAAAATTAAATTCAGAATTTTAAATAAAATGTATTAAAATACATATATAACTTGCAAAAATTAATATAAAGTACTATATCCTTAAAAAAATTAAATTTTTAAAAGATGTTTTAAATTAAATGTCAATATTAGTGGCTAGTGGCTGGTGCAATGGTGGCCGGTTGAAGTGGTAGCGTCAGTTGTGGGGCTGATGACAATAGGTGGTGGTGACGGCACCGACGATGACCGATGACAATTGTGGTAGCTTACTGATGGCAATAGTGATGGTGGCAGTGGCAGCAGCAAAGGATGGTAGCGATGGCCAACGGTAACGATGATGGTGGTGGTGACAACTAGTGGTGATTGACAACTTATAGTGATGGCCGGTGACAATGGTGGTGGTGGTTTCATGGCTGGTGGTGGCCGATGGTTTGCGACGGTACCCTCACGTGCCTAGCAGAATACGTAAAAGGATAAGCTTATCATATCTTGTTGGCTCACCAAACAATGAATAAGTGCAACATACGATAATCTATCCTAAGTGCAACATACGATAATCTATCCTAAGTGCAACATATGATAATCTATCCTATCTTGTTCTCTTTATCCCAGCCACCAAACGAGCTCTCAAAGTTTTTAGGTGGAATACAAGGTGTTAACCCCAGCTTGGGACCTGTGCAGGCAGCGTTGATGGCTTATGTTGCCAGCTCCCGTGGTGACAATAACCAGGTTGTGGGTGGAGTGTTGGTGGAGCAACAAGCCTTTTCACTTTTAAGCTAAAAAAATCACCAGATATAGCTTTATTTTTTAGGTTTTGGTTACAACTGCAGGAAACACCATGTAGAACTTAAAAACACTAGACCAAAGAAAACTTCATTAAAATGAAAATAACATGTTTGAGGATCTATGTTTTCGTTTGCTATCTCCTTTTTGCAAAGACTTCCGTTTAGTAACATTTTTTTCCGGGTAAATAGCAAATGGGATCCAACCTTGGCTTAATTTAGTAAATTCAGGTTTTAACTTAAGAATTATGTTTTGTAGCAATCATACATAGAAAAGAATAAAAATATCATAGTGTCATGCATGTTATGAATATGATTTTAAACACAAATGCTTATATAAGTAACATTTTTTTCCTGGTAAATAGCAAATGGGATCGATTGGCTTAGTTTAGTAAATTCAGCTTTTAACTTCAAAGAATTATGTTGTAGCAGTCATACATATAAAAGAATAAAAAGATCATAGTGTCATGCCCGTTATGAATATGATTTAAAAAACAAATGCTTAGATACAACACATAACAAGTGATAGGAGTTGGATTGAGCCTTAGGTAGACAATTATAAAATAATGACTTCTGGTAGCAATGTTCGAATAGTAAAGCTGTATATATTAAGAGTAAAATATCATCATTGTCCGTCCTCAGAGTTCCACCATTAAGCATATCAAACCATCAAATTTGAGTAAACTACATGCAAAAATTACCTTCAAATGATAATTATTTGACACTTCTAAGAACACTTGTTATGCCACATACATATATGAGTTTGAATTCAGCATGAGAAAGAGGAAGAGATAATGGAATCAATCTTTTGATGCAGGACAAAGGGCTTAATTATTATTTATACATAAAAAGTTGGGGTGCCGTTTGGGCTATTGTGGATTAGTATCGTTCGTGCAACTGAAGCACAACTATTACTCAAGCTATTGTAGCATAGGTACGGTTGTGATTTTATTATTTTATTTGGGTCTTTTAGTTTCTTATTATTCAAGCTACTTTAAATATCTAGGATTAGATTTATTCCAAGGGTTAGGATTTCTATTAATCAGGTTTCTATGCTATATAAGGCTTGTCTTCTATTTCCGCTGTTATTAACCAGAAAGCCAATCCTCTTTGTCTGTGTTTCGAATTTCCTTACCCATACATTTCTCCTCTATATCCCTTTTGTGTCTCAGCTTAACCCTACAGCTTAGGCCCTTTCCGTTGTTCATGCGTTGAACAGTAAATTCCAATTCCAATATAATTCACCTCAAAAAAGTCCTCACAACCACAAAATCATCAAACAAACCTTTGATTGATAGCTCATTAAGTTTTATGAAGATAAGCAGCATGAACAAGACAAGTCATGGAAAAATTAAACAAGCTAGATCAGTACATGATCATGAAAGCTTTTTAAAATTATAGCACAGGGATACCCAATCCTCTGTTGAAGGTAACTAACTGATTACCAATTGGTTAGATCGATCAAGCAAGCAAGCAAGCCAACCTTTATGCAAAGTTAAAACATAACACCATGGAAGTGATGGCATTTCTATTCTACCTAATGATATGATAGTTATCACTGGTTATTCAGCAATTTTTATTTTTTAAAAAATAAAATCGTTGACAAGTTTAAGCGTTTAAGGTCAAAGGCAAACCTTTCTGCTCATCAGAAGCATCATGATACTCTTCATGCTCCTCCTCCGGCACAGGGAGGAGTTCAGCCTCTTCCCCAACAATGTATTTCCCTTGATCACCAACGGCGTCGTTTTCCTCAGGGTACCGCACAACCACAACAGGACACACACAATGATGAACACAGTAATCGCTGACACTACCAAGCCTAGCCTTCGAGGCTCTCTTGGAAGCACCAAACCCTCGGCTACCCATGATGACAGCACTGAGCCCTAGCCTCTCTACCTCCAAGCACAGCCTCTCCTTCATGTCATGGTCCTTCACAATGTGAATCTTGAACGGGATTTGCGCCTCCACCAGTGGCTGCGCCACGTCGCTCGCTTTCGTCGACGTGAAATTGTCGAAATCGTCCTCCAGCTTCCGCCGCGACTCCTCGTCGCCGCCGGTCTGATTGAGATCGACTGAGCCCCAGTCCGCGCCGTAGAGGACGCTCGTGGGACGCACGTGCAGGAGGATGACGACGTCTCCCGGTCGGAGATAGTTCTGAACCGCCCATCGGACGGCGTAGGCGCTCTCGTCGCTCAGATCAACGGCGATCGCGATTTTGCGGTGTGAACCGGAGGTCGGGGTTAGGGCCCAGCGAGGTGAAACGGTCGGAACCGGAGGTTCCGGTTCAGGCCGAGCCAGTGATTGCTGTTTCATACCGGCAGAACAGGAAAAAATTACGGTTTTGGTCACCGGAGACACAGGGAGAGAAATTTTGGGGTCAAATGTGAGTTTGCCCTAATTTTTGGACTTTGAGCAATTGATTTCGTAACGGATCAAAGACTTTGAGAAGTTTCTCTCTCTCTCTCTTCTCTCTGTTGTTGAATTTCTCAGTTCCTTCCTTCGTTGTCTACAAGACTGGAGGCTGAAGTCATTGAATCTGGAAGCCGTTTCGTTTCGTGTGTCAAAGGGTGTATTAGTCTTTTGACTTTGATTACTTCTTCCGTTTTGGTCCTCTAATTGGGATACTCTTCACCTAATTTTTGTTACTACATCAACTAATAAACCATGGATTGTCTGTTTTAATTGGTTTTAGGTTAGTTAAAAGTATATTAACTAATATTAGTTAGTGCAAAGGTGTTGTAGCTTGTGAGAGACGCTTGAACATCAGAATCAGTTGATATTATATTGGACGCGATATGGTAATAATGCTTGTAGAGGGGTTTTTGTTGGGGATGAATGAAGCCAAATGCATAACAAACTAGAAAGCGTTGTCAACAAGGACATACATAACCTTGGGGATTGAGGTTGGAAACCAACTCTTTGAAATCATAAATTATCAATGCCAACTAAGATGAATAGAGACCAAATGAAAGAGATGGGGGCAGTCACATATTAACATTAGATGATTGGCAATTGGGCCAGATGGTATTGGGTCAATTTATGTAAACATCAATACATCATTTATGCGTGACTCATTAAACGGTACAAGAAATTAACGGCTCTTGCTGAACCCAAGCGGGGATTGTCACAAAAAAAAAAAGTTTTCAATCACAGCTGTTTTCTGCTGTATTAATTGAATCTGACTTTACTGTTACATCCACGGCTAGCTGCTTTGAGCATTAATGTTTTTAGATTAAGTTACTTAAAAAAAAAAAAAGCAAAATATTCAAACTAAATAACATATATTTTATGAGATTCAACAAATAAATTCATATTATGTAAATTAAAATAATTACACGAATCTAATAAATAATACTTATAGTAAGTATAACCTCTTTTAATATATTCATATACACCATCTAAGAAAAATTAATCGAATATAATTAAGTTATAAATAATTACAATTGATTAAATTTATATCTTTTGAGCAAAATTAATTTTAAAATTATAGTTTTAGAAAAATTAATTTTACAAAATGATTCCTTTATCCTAAAAGCTTAATTTGATAAATGATGTTTACATTAATAATTTTATATTAATATTCCTAACATTTTTTTTACGCAAGAGCTTTGAGTTTAAGTGTGAATAATCAAGAACTATTTTTCTTTTTACCTCGTGTTAATTTTAATTTTACTTCTTAGTTTGGTCAAACTCTTCACTCTACCTCCATATTTCTTTGTACCAACTGAAAAAATTCTATGCAGCTTATTGTACCCATCGATCTTCCTCTTACGATGTGAATTGGAAATCAGTACATATCGATCTTTCTCTTACGACTCGAATTGGAAATCATTTTCAAAAGTTCAAAAAACTCAGGCAAGACAAATATTCCTATGTAATTGTAGTTTAGAACTTAGCAGGCTTGGGCTCCAAAATTCAATTGTCCGGTTTAAGGGGTAATCATCTCAATCTTTTGGGTGGGCCTATTGTGACTTTTCATCAAGACTACAAGAAATGCCAAAGGTTTCTTGTCCTGCAGTGATAACGCAGAAATGGAAAAATATTAAATTCTAGCTGCATATACAACTTTCTAGAAGTAATATTATTGAGAAATTTTTTTAGGTAGAAAAAATTTTAAAAATAAGAAAGTTGTCTCCTTTTAAAGTGCGCGTATTAATAAAAATTGAAACTAAAATTTTCTAAGATGTTATTTCATCTTACTAGTTGAGTTATCCATGTTGGCCACTTCTTGATAAACTTTAGTTTGAGAATTTTTGTAAAAAATAATATTACATAAATAACTCTGTTTTTGATTCCTTTTTCCATCTTTCTCCTTTGTTTTGTCTTCTCATTCCTCATTCTTTTGGAGTTTTTCATAGTAGTTTTGGTTTAACTAATAGGGCAAGATATACTTACCACCAAAAAAGTTTACCATCTTTACAACCAACCTAATCTCCGTTGATTTTCGTGAATCTAATGGTTATAATTTATTGGATCGCATTTATTAGTTATTTATTAATTTCATATAAATTTAATAATTTATAACCGTTAGATGGATGGAAATCAACGGAGATTAAGTTGATTGTAAATATGGTAAACTTTTTTTATGGTAAGTATATTCTTCCCCTTAACTAATAATCAAAATAGCTTAGGAACTGATCCGCTACCCAGGTAATTGATTTGTTCTAAAAAAGTGAAAAGTGTGAGTATGAATATTTTATCAAAATTGTTTTTTAAACAAAAGTTCTCGAACATTAATTATAAATTTACTTTTCAGCAAAATTAATTTTAAAAATATATAATTTTAGGAACATCAGTTTTACAAAATGCTACGCCCAACCTAAAAATTTAGATTGATAAATAATTTTATATTAATAATTCTAACATATCTATTTTGGACTAACCTTTACAGACCCAATACAATTGGGTCAGTTTGCAAATACCCCTACTTCTCTGGAGTAAATATATAGATCTCAATGTAGAATATTCTTCGTTCCCTTGCAAAACTTATTTCACTAATATAATGGAGTATTAACTGTGTGGTCCTGAACCACATGCTCCCTTGGTTAAATAGGGATAAAATGAGAAAATAAGTAAAAAAAAAATGGGGATAAAATGTAAAAATTAAGTAAAAAAGAGCACAACGAATTAATATGGTACGGGACCATATTAAAATTTTTCCATGTAATGATGCACGTCCATTTAGTAAGATACAAGGCAAACAATTATAACTCATTATTAAGGAATATCTTCCACCTTTATATACCCCGCTTCTCCACGAGAAAATATATCTTGCATTCATCACTTTTATGTATTGTTACTTTGTAAAAAATATAGACTACCATACTTTTTTACATTCTTTATATCTTAGTCATACCTGAAATAATACTTATCATGTTTCTCTCTAAGTTTTGGCCCACACCAGTTCTACTTTGACCACTCACATAATGATATATTTCACCCCTTGAGGTAGTGGCGGATCCAAATTTTTTTTTTTATATCTCCACATTTAGGGCGTGGGTTTGGGGGCGTTGCCCCTTTTTTTTTTTAAGATTATGATCATGGTTCAATTTTTGTTTCCCCTTCAAAAGTAAAGCTTTGGTGAATCAATCAAAGTTTTAAGGAAATAATCGATAATGATAATTAAAAAAAATAAACATCACAAAAAGACATTGGTAAAATATAGTATAATTGAATGGGTTAATTGATCAAAAACTCATCTTTGTAGATGTCTATTTGATTCAAAGTTGATCACTTTTGTTTCACAAAAAAGGTGAAAATTCCCGTACGATTCTCATCCACTTGATAAAGATTGAATTTTAGGAATCGTTGATGTCTTTTAAGATTTGGATCTAATAAAGTTTATGTAAAAAAGACAAAGCAATGGGTTAGAATTTAAACTTTAAGCTTTTAATTGTATGGGTTGTGCCTATTTTTACCTTTTTTCTTTTAATCTTTCTATTTTTTTTATTTTTATTTTTACATTTGACTTGAATAACACATTTCATGTAAATTTTTTTTCCACCTAATTTTGTGTCTGCAAGTGCAGACACCTGCAACCTGCAACAACTTCGATCCGCCATTGCCTTGAAGGGATATAGACCTACTTATAAATCCATAACAACTGAAGATCTCTTATACTAATTTAAATTTTACTTCTTAACTTTTATTAGAAAATGCGATGATAAAATCTGAATTCGTGATCACCTAACACAATTATTTCAACATAATTGACTTTTAAGTTATAAGTAATATTTACATTAATAATTTTATATTAATGTATAGGGTTTGATAAGAGTTATGTTATAGAAAAAGTGATTGTGTAATATTATAGAGATTCATTTTGCGTGCCGTAGTTTTTTTTTTTTGCTTCAAAAAGTGTGAGCCCATAAAATGTTGTGTGTAGGAAATTTTTTTGTGTAATAATAAATGATAAATACAAACCCTAATGTATATTTGGTGGACAATAGTTTTCAGATTTGAATCTGCTGTATAGGAAGTACAAAGAATTTCATGCCTTGGTCAAACTCTTCACTCTACCTTCATCTTCTTTGTACAAACTGAAAAAATTCTTCGCAGTTTATTGTACACATAGATATTCCTCTTACGTTGTGAATTTGAAGTCAGTATACATCGATCTTTCTCTTACGACGCGAAATGGAAATTATTTTCCAAAGTTCAAAAAACTCAGTCAAGACAAACATTCCCATGTGATTTTAGTGAAGAACTTAGCAGGTTTGGGCTTCAAAGGTCAATTGTCCGGTCTAAGGATCTCAATCTTTTGGGTGGGCTTATTGTGACTTTTCATCAAGACTAAGAAATGCTGAAGCTTTCTTTTTTTCGTGCAGTGATAACGCAGAAATGGAAAAATATTAAATTGTAGCTGCATATACAACTTTCTAGAAGTAATTTCATTGATAATTTTTTTTAGGTAGAAAAAAAATTAAAAATAAGAAAGTTGTCTCATTTTAAAGTTCACGTATTACTAAAAAATGGAACCTAAAATCTTCTAAGATGTTATCTGATCTTCTATGTAGCACCGATATGATACGCGACACGTGACACGACACGACACGACACTCCGACACGTCAATCTTAAAAAATTATGGATTTTGACACGTTAGGACACGTTTTAATATTAAATAATATTTTTAATTTATATAGTGTATATTTCATTTAATATTTAATAATTTAACAAAAAAATGAAACTAAATTAATAATACCCATTAACACGTTATAAAGATGGAAGCTTTAATAAAAAAAATAAGAACTGGGATGAGAGATATATATAATATCAGATAGAGAGATCAAATCATATTAGAGAGAGATCAGAGAGAAGAAGATACAACAAGAGCGTGATAGGAAGTGACAACAATGATGCTGAGATGATCTCTTATCTACTTAAGGGGAAAAAAGACAAAAAGATAAAATTGATATGATCAGGTGGAAGCTTTATTAATATATTTTAACTTTTTAAAAAAATAAATTTTTTAAAAAAATAAATTTTTTAAAAAAAATTAAAAAAAAATTACGAAAATGCCATTTGACCGTGTCGGACACGGTCAAATTCGCGTGTCGGAATGATCAACGTGTCGGAAAAAGTCAACCGCGTGTCCGACACCGTGTCGGAGCGTGTCGCCGTGTCGGAGCGTGTCGGACCCGACTCTTTCTGTTTTTACAAGTGTCCGTGCTTCCTTGCTGATCTTACTAGTTGATTT